ATAAGCAACTTTTCTGACAATTATAACATCCAAGATTAAAAAATATATAGTGAAATGGGTTGGGGAGTAATAAATTAATTGTACAGCTGTACCATAAAAATTAAACTGATCTAGTAAAAAAAAATCTATTTCCATAACTAGCTAATGATTTTATAATTACTTAGAGCTTTGTGGAATGACAGTTACACACTAGAATTTTTGTTTCACTTATTACATCCTAAGCCTACTTTCATCTTCTAAATTTCAGGACAGAAATATCTTGGTCTTCACTTAATATTACCTTGAATTTTAAAAATTCATTCTCTAAAAAAGCTGGGCACCAGTAACTCACATTTGGATCCTGAGTCCTTTGGAGGTTTATATTGGTCAACATTAGGATCATGGTTTCAGACCAAGTCAGAAAAAGAAGTCTGAGAGACTCCATCTCCAGGTAAGCTGGGCATGATGGCACACAATTGTCATCCCAGCTACTACCAGGGAGCCTAAAATAGGCAGGTGCTTGTCCAGTCAGGAAGTGAGATCCTATCTCAAAAAACAACCAGTGGAAAAAGGGTTGGAGACATAGCTCAGTGGGAGAGCACTTGCCTAGCAAGCTAAATGCCCTGAGTTCAAACCCCATACTGTCAAAAAAAATGCCAGTGGCTCATGCCTATAACCCTAGCTACTCAGGCCAAGATCTTAGAATCAGTAGTTCAAAGTCAGCCAGCAGATAAATAAATACACAAGACTTTTATCTCCAATTAACAAGTAAAAGGTCAGAAGTAGAGGTGTAGCTCAAGTGATAGAGCACCAGCCCTGAACAAAAATTCCAAGCGAGAGAACAAGGTCTAAAGTTCAAGCCTAAGTACCAGCATACAAAAAAAGCAAAGAAATGAAGAAACAAAGAAAGAAAAAGAACTGACCACTAATTAAGTACCTACAGACTGTAAGCCTTTAAAGCTTTCCTTCTAACATTTCTTTCCACAATTTTTCCCAAGGGATATATACTCTATTTACATATCTCCTTGATAACTTTTTATTAACTATCAAACAATCTTCATCTAAGGCTATTCTGATAAACAAAGTAAGAGCTTTCATGGCATTATAACAAAGTGTAAATGATTCTATATAGTTATTTATATAATTTTTCCCTCCAATAACAATAGTTGAGATAACAGACATATTAGCAAATATGAAAATGCTAAATATCAATTCACTCAGAGAAAAAAAAGAAATTATACAAATAATAAAGCTAGCTTTCAGGATTTAATTCCTTGACCCAAAAAGTAAACAGCCATCTGCAACAACCTGTTCTAGGTCTTTGAAAGGAAATCTGAGTAGTCAGTAAAGATATTCCAGCTAATATCAGGTGATTCTGGCTAAATTCAATCCAATGTAATTTCAACTACTGTGTCCAGTGTGTCTTGAACTGAATTTTTATTCTATTGAAAAGGGAAGAAATATGATATAGAAATTTTTGTTGCATTTCTTTTATGCACACCACTATGTATCTAATAAATACCTACTACTCAAATATTCCCCTTTGGAACTACTGGGTTAGTACACTCCTTTCTAGATCCACAGCCCTTTCCAAAATCATTCATACAGAGCCACTTAGAAAATTCTAAAAGAGCAATAGCCCTTATAGGGATCAGAGGAAAAAGAAGTATCAGCATGGGATAGACAAGTGATGGAAGAAGGGATTCATAAATGTTTAACAATGTTGATAATTTTTTATGAAAGAGACAGCTCAAGTTAGGTTTTACAAATTAAGTATTCTAAAAAGAATTACCAACCAGTATCAAACAAAAGAGCATGGCCTGAGTCCATATTTAACTTATTGACTACACTAAATTATATGAACACATATCCTGAGTAAGTTTTAGCCGTATCAGTCATATCAGTAGATTATATTGAATCCTATATTAACAACTGTATGTTAAGATAAGAGCATTTTGTTACATGAGATGTGTTATTTGCACCATAATTGAGAAAATTTTCTGTTGAAAAGAATAACAGCAGTAGTTTGGCTTGAAAAAGAAAATAATCATCAGAATTGCTGGAGGTAGTGTTCCATTTCTTAAAACAGGAAGATACGTGTGAGTTACACTGTTATTCTTTATAATTTGTTCATTTTATAAACACTTCAAGTATGTTTAAATGTTAAGAAAAATCTGAGCAAACATTTGCTCATGGAAGTTAAATATACTTAAAGCTTCAATCTGTTTTTGCTATTTTTAAATAAAATAGAAATCATTAAAACATCAGTAAACAAGGAAAATAATAATTTCTCCTTAATTTTCATTAAGGAAATTAGCAATAAAATTTTACTGAAAAGAAACTGTGTGTATAATGTATCAATCTATATTCAATATACCTAAAAGTAAAGTTCTCTTCCAAACCAAACTCCATCACAAATATTTCTTTGGCCACATAAAAAGTATTCCTTCCTCTACTTACAAAACCAAAAATGAATCAGAAAACAAGTTTCTAAAGAAAAGTGTTTCACTCTAAGTAACTATAATTTTTGCATATGTGTACACTTAATATTTATGTGAGTTCTACTAGATTTATTCACATTTACAGTGTTTCCTTTATCATAGGTATGTACATTTTATTTATGCCTTGGGGATACTAATTTGAGTGAAAGGACAATATAGTATTCTGAAACAGCTCTTCTACTTCTTAGGCATAGAATCTTGGGCAAGTTACTGAATCTGTGTTCCAGTATCTCATGGAGAAAATAAAAAATAACAGTATATAGTTCCTAGGGCTTTAAAACTGATTAGAACAAATGTAAAAGAGGACTAGCATAGAGTAGGTGCTTTGTAAATGTTGGGCTTTTATTACCAGTAGTATTAATTCCCCATCTCTCCGAACATACTAAAACCATTCTTAGCAATCTGAATTATTGACTAAAATCATATTACTAGTTAAAATAGACATCAAATCTAAATTACAATGCGTCTGAAGCCCTGCAACTTTGAAGAGAACTGATTAATAAATCTATATTACCACTCCAAAGATAAAGAACAATCCAAAAGTACTAGCTCCCAAAAACACAACTATCAATTTCTTCCCTTACACAAGGGGGCAGTGATAACAAGAAAAGAATGGGGCTCTGTAACACCTCTTCCTACAGACAGTAGGGGGTGGCAGTACATATGGCTTGCAGTCAGAACAAAACAGGAAGACCCAACAGAACTGCTCTTTATTCTTCCCTGGCCCTGTCCTCTCTTCTTTAGCCTCAACAGAGCCTCAAGATAAGGAAAATACCGACGGAAAAGACAAAAACCCAAAATTAATCATCAAGGAAAATCAAATTTTATCTTTGAAGAAAATGATCCCTCAGTGGCTGAATTTGGAACCAGGGGGAAGCCAATCAGTATGAATTTCCAGATTACATGGCAAATTACAACATCTACACAAGTATCAATTTTTGTGTAAGAATTGTAACATAATAAGACAAACTCTCATCATAAACATATTCTAATGAACACATCCAGTTAGTTCTGCTTTTGTTTCACAGTAAGAGACAGTCATTGTATATATATATATATGGTATATCACATAGCTCATCTAGCTCTTTTGTTACTTCTGAAATTTCAGCTATGTTCTGACAATCCTCTCAAAACACAGATGCTCCTAAAAGGAAATCACAATGTTTTTACAGCATGTGGGCAATTTCACATATATGTATATATGTACATATTTATATACATCTAGAAAGAGACAAGAGAAAAAAATGGGAGAAGAGGGAAAGAAGGAAGGGATATTTTTGTGGTCACATTCCTAAGATGATCTACCTGAGAAATGCTAAAGAAACAGTCCCCTGACAGTGTCCATGTTGCTTTTTATGCCAATTTTCTGCATTCCATTTTTCTCTTATTTTACCATTCCAACACCCAGAACATAGAAGAATATTTCACTACTGCCCTCCTCCGTAATTAGCCATCCTGATGGCTTTGGCTCCTACCCTCAAAATGCCTGAAAATTTACCCCTTTTGTTCACCATATTGTTTTGTTTCCTTCATTCATTTTCACCTGTGTAAAAAAAATCAAGAAAGGGGCACATATGAAAAAATGTTTCCCCTTGCCTAATAATCTTGAACTCACAATTATGGTCAAGATACTTGGATTGTTTGGGGGTTTTGCTTCTTGTGTTTTGTTTCTTTTCCTGTAAAGGAGCAGAGAGTGAAAGACACCCCATGTACACCAAATCCTCTTCCCAATGTTAATTATCATTGTTTATGTTTTATGAAAAACATGTTCCACATTCCACACCTGGAACAGAAGACAGGGCAGGATTCTGTCAGTGCTCTCTACGCGCTGAAGGCAAAACCTGGAATTATTTTAGTCCTATTTTTTTTTCTTTCCTCTCTCACAACCAGATACAAATTGCTTTTTGCTTTCACGTGAGTACTTTCCCTATGCCAAAAAAAAAAAATAGCCTAAAAAATAGCCTATAAGCTTCCCCTCTATTTCCTGTGGCAAAATAATCTAGCAATGGGCCCTATTAATATTTTATTACACCACACCTCCTTCCCAAGAGGAATTATTAGTATCACTAATAACTCTTCCACCAGGAATTTCTACACCACCCGGGCGAGCCCATCCTGTGCCTTTACCTGGCACATTTCACAACTACTTGCATGCTGCATTCGGGGGGACACGTTTTGCAAAACTCGTTCTGCACCACATTCCCTGACACGTTGAGCCAATCTGCCTGGCACCTTCCTGCTATGGATCCCTGTCACCCGCACACACTCCAGGTACCAAATGCCATGACACCTTCGGTGACAGCCAAGTGGCCGAACCCCCCCACACCCAACCCATCGGTTGCAAGTGCCACATGCGGAGGCAGCCTGATTCCCCACGCCCCCGACACCGGAGGCACTTCGCTGCCGGGGTTCGCAGTCTCCGCACGCGCCCCCGCCCCTCTCCGGGAGCTGAGGCGTCCGTGGCGAACGTCCCTGTCACTAGAGCGACCTTCCCTAACCCGGCTCCCTCGGCCCCCTTACCTGCCGCTCGGAGGGGTCTGGCGCACCTCGGGGTCCAGCCCGCGTCCCCGTGGTCTCCGGGTGAGGACCGCGCCGTTCGCCCGTGCCGCCCGCGCCTCCCCAGAGCCCCTCGCTGCCTCCGACGCCCCCCCCCCCACCGGAGGGTCTGCGCCCCGGTTCGGCGCGACGGGGCCTCGCGGCGGGCGGGCGGGCGCAAGCCGCGGTGGTCCTCCTGTCAGCGGCGGCGCGGGGGCACTCTCGCCCCTTAGCGCGGCGGCGGCGGCGGCGGCGGCAGCAACGGCGGCGGCGGCGGCGGCGGCGGCGGCGGCGGCGGCGGCGGCGGCGGCGGCGGCGGCGGCGGCGGTGGGCGCCTCGCTCCGCCTCGCGCGCGGCACAGCCCGGAGGTGAGCGTGAGGGGGATGGGAACGGGGGCGGGGCCGCCCGGAGGGGAGGCGCGGAGGGCGGTGGCGGCGGCGGCGGCGGCGACCACGGGAGGGCAGCGCTGGCGGCCCCAGGGCCCGGCGCTCCGAGCGTCCGCAGCTCGCCCGCGCCGGGCGAGCGGCTCGCGTGAGGCGGCGGTGCCAAGCGGGCCCCGCCGGAGCAGCGCGCGCCCAGCCACCCGCGCCCGGCCGGCCGCTCTCTAGCGCCGCCGCCGCCGCCGCCGCCGCCCTCCGCGCCGGGGGCGTCGCACCCTCAGAGGCCGCCCGCAGCCCCGCCCCCTCCGGGCCGGGCTAGGGAGGAGCGCGAGCGCGGAGGGAGAGCGCGTGCGTGGGGGCGCGTGCGTGGTGGTGCTGCGCGCGCGTGGTGGTGCTGCGCGGGTGCGCGCGCCCCTGCCCCCTGCCCCTCCACACTTTGGGGGTGGGGAGCCGCTGGGAAGCGGGCGTGGGGATGAGTTCGTCCTCGGCAGGGAGCGAAGCGGGCCCTGACGCCGGAGGGTATCTAAGCACGTCTCCTCAGCTCAGGGGAGCTTGGACCGGTGGGGTCGGGGGCTTTTGCTGGATAGGCGGGATGGCAGCTCAATAGCTAACAAGGCCCTACGTAGCTAAGCCCCGCCTCCGGGGATGACGTCACTCTCGAGGTGGCGGCTGCTGTCACGTGTTCCCCCTCAGGGCCTGTCCTCCTGCGTTGATGGCCAGGGCAATCCTCTAGACTTACCCCCTACACTGGTCACCTCAGGCACATGCCATTCCTGGAGTCATCCAAGCCAACAAGTGTCATTCTTCCCCTGATTCTCAAATGTCATGTGTAAAGTGTCTTAAAATGCCACGGTTAGCAGTGACAGGAATTAGAATGGGAGGAGGGAGGTGTAATGAACAGGGAGAGAGATGAAAACTCTTATCTAAAATAATTTCCAGAATTCATCAGCTATAGATGATGATGTAATGTGATGCTGCTCCTTTCACTTCCAGGATACATAAGTAACGTGGTTTTAACAGCTAGACAGCAAAGAAAAGTACCACACTAAAGCCTTGAAGAAGGATACTGTGTCCTATGAACTTCCCTTCCATCCTCCAACTAGATCTTCTTCACTTTTATTCTTTATTTCCTTGCAATCATGAAACAACCATTGAAGTTTGCAAGATATTTCTTGCAGAATTTTTCCTTGCTTTGAGATGATGCAAAGCAATCACTCTTGCATGTTCTGCCTGGCTAGTTTTCTCTGACATAAACTGAGATGACCTTTTGCAGTCATCTACTTCCTAATGAAAAGCCATGATTGGAAATAGATGCACAAATTATATCAATCAAGAAAGCTGTGTCTGTGGAGCTTCCAAGGTAGAGAGGTTGCTTGGTGTAATAACAGCCCATCTGAATCTACCCCATTCTGCAGCAGTTCCTTCTGGTGTTTCTTTTATTTTAAAAAAATAGTGTTAATTTTACAACAATGCAAGAAGCCATGTCCAACAACTAAATTCTACAGTAATGCTTAAAAAGTCAGATCTAAAACTGTAGCTTTCTTTGTCTACAGCTAACACAGTGGGAGAATTCTGATGGATAGATACATGGAATCTTTTGGTGATAATTCCAAGAAGTTAGATTAATCTAATTAAAATCTATCTACCTAAAGCGATAGAGGGTAGGTAGTGGTTATTTAAGGGGTTATTGATTCAGAAGAGGCCTTCTGGAAATATTAGGAATCTTATCCTAATTAATGGTTTCAAGGGAATAGATAGATAGAGAGATAGACCTATAGAAAATAATCTATGTACTGTATTTCAGTTTTAGCACAAAAAGAAACATTCTATTTCGGCACAATTTTATACACAATGAAACATCACAATATCATTGTTACTGGATTTGATTAATCCACCCAACATTTAACTAGCCATGTGACTCTGAATGAGTCTGAACCTTCTTTTCTTCATCTGGCTAATCCAGGTGATGATACATCTCAGGACGGTCATGACAAATGAAATGGTGACAAGTGAACTGTTAGCAAATATTAAGCAGATCACACAGTATCAATAAAGTGCTCAAGAAAGAGTAGCTACTATTATGTTATTTTTTTTTTTGGTGGGGGCGGGGTCCAGTCGTGGGGCCTGAACTCTGGGCCTGGGCGCTGTCCCTCAGCTCTTCAGCTCAAGGCTAGCGCTCTACCTTTTGAGCCACAGTGCCACTTCCAGCTTTTTTTTCTTTTTGCTTATGTGGTGCTGAGGAATTGAACCCAGGGCCTCATGCATGCAAGGCAAGCACTCTACCACTGAGCCACCTTCCCAGCCTCTATTATGTTTTTCTTACACTTAAATTTACCTTTTTTGGTTGTCTTTTGGTCCTTTTATTTCTTTAAGGTACTTTGTATCTAAGCCTTTCCCTGTGAGTTTAACCAAGGCTAATAACATTTTTTTCCCTTGGAGAACTAACAAAAGGCAGTCAGAGGTGTAATATGTTGCTTTTCAAACCAGGTCAGGTGGCAGCACCTCGAAATTATGGTGCTTATTGTAAAACACCATGGAACATTGATATACTTAATTCTATTGCATGGACTTGACATAATTTTACATTTAGCTGTATTATGATTATGAGGATATCTATATATTTTTAAATAATGTATTTTAAGAAATAATATGTGTGTACTTTTTAAATTTGTTCTCAACTTTTTCACAATGTAGAAAATTTAAAAAATAATTCACAAAATAAAACCCTTTAAGCCCATTTTCCTGAAAAGTAGAAAGATACCATAGCTGTTCAACTTTAGTAGTAGGCTTCTTTATTGGATTTTCACATGGTAAGCCCTGATTGCTGTGTTCCACATGGTTTCTTGCTTTGATAAGCCTCTCTGAGTCACTATCCTCATATTTCCAAAGATCATTAACCATTTCTTTCCATCTTTTCTTCTTTCTTTCCCTCTTCTTTCCTTTTTCTTTCCTTTCTTTCTTTCTTCCTTTTTTACTTTCATTCTTGTACTGGAGTTTTAATTCAAGGCCTCATGCTATCTAGGAAGCAGTTCTTCCACTGAACCACAACTCTAGTGCTAATATTCAGAGTTACTCTTTTGAAATAAGGGCTTACATCCTGCCTAGGTATACACTTGGACCACAATCCATCTTTTTTAAGCAATTTTGTCATTTAGTCATTGGTGGCATTACAGGCACATGCTACTGTGTCCAACTTTCCTTTATTGAGATGAACTCTCATGAACTTAACTACCCAGGCTGGCCTGGACCCATGATCCTCCAGATCTTAGCCTCCCATGTAGTTTAGGATGAAAGACACGTGTAACTATATCCATCTTTGGGTTTAAGAAAGGGTCTTGTGAACCTTTCTTCCAGGCTGGCTTCAAACCACAATCCTCCCTATCTCAGCCTCTCAAGTAATTAGGACTAGAAGTGTGAGTCACTAGCACCTAGACCTCATTCCTCATTTCTTTTAACTGATCCTTTTCATATCCTGTCTTCACACTGGGTACTGTTTCACTCTTTGATCATCCAACATACTTCTACTCAGCCGCATAGTTCTATCCTCAAGCCTTGCACTTTACAACTATAGTCTAACTTTATAGAGGAAACAATATGTCCCCAACAGAGATGGGTTCCAGTAGGAACAGAGTAACACTGAAGAGAAAAGCTACCTCTGTCCTCACCCCCCTGACTTGATTTTCTTCTGTCACTAATACCTGAAATTCTGAGAGTGGGAATTGTTTTGCCTATTAAAAATCCATTCCAGTTAACATATTTGTCTTTGTAACATTAACTTTGAAATAAGATATGTTTCACATAAAAGGACCCTGTAAGTACATGTCCATAAAGTACTCCAAACTTACCCTAGACCTCCCAATTTTTCAGTGCTGTGATGGGGGGGCGGGGCAGTCCTAGAGGTTCAACTCAGGACTTTGCACTTGCCAGATTAATGCTCTGCCACTTGAGGCTTCGACTCCACGTTTTGCTGGTTATTCTGGGGATGGAATCTAGCAAACTTTTCTAGCTCAGCTGGCCTTGAACTATAAGCCTTCAGATCTTAGTTTCCTGAGTACCTGGGATTACAGACATGGCCTTTCATGCCCTCCAGATGGTCTTTCCAGATATGCCAACTTTGTTCAATCACTTATCTTTGCACACCGTCCCTAGGCACTTCTAAATCAATCATACATATTCTCTCTCACTCTCTCTCTTTCTTTTTCAATCCTCATAACATCCTATATCCTATAAGTATGATTACCTAATTCTTTAGATGAGGGGCTCTGAGGTTAAGTAACTGATTCAAGTTCACACTAAATGATGGGTAGAGCCCACAGTCTAACCCAGATATAAACTTCACACTCTATCTTTTATCCACAAGAGAATGCTATATAAAATACAAAAAGAACACAGGTTGTGAGCCACCTTATTTTGATAGTATTAAGAAAAGTTGATGTAAATTAGATTTTCTCATGAATGATGCTTTTTCTTTTCCTCCTGGCAGTATTAGAGTTTGAACTCAGGACCTTGTGTTTGCTACATAAACACTCCACAGCTTGAGCCATATCCTAACTCTTTTGCTTTTTTATTTTTCAAATAGCGTTGAGTTTTACTTGAAATGACCTAGACTGTGGTCCTCCTATTTATGCTTACCACATAGCTGAGATGATAGGCTTGTGTCACTTCACCCATCTTTTTGTTAATTACAAAGGGAGCCTCACTAACCTTGTGCCCAGGCTGGCCTTGA